TTGAGGCGGAGCCCATCAGGGAGAAGCCGGCGTGGCGGCGCGTGGAGGATCCTCTTACGCGCTGCCTGGGCGGTGAGAGCCTGCTGCTGACGGGCTATCCCGGGACGGGCAAGACGCATCTGGCACGCAAGATCGTGGAGGCCCTGCGAGAACTCGGGGACACCATGCACATCATCACGAAGACCCACGCCGCCTTGCAGAATGTGGGGCTCGGGGCGCAGACGGCGGATCACTGGGTGCGCCGCAACGTTCGCAGCGGTCGCTGCAGCGCCACCTGGCTGGTCATCGAGGAGCTGCAGTTAGATACTCCTCTGTGGGCTGATATAGCCTGCCTGAGCATGAACACCTCCATGCGCTTCTTGTTGCTCGGAGACTTCCGGCAGCTTCCCGCCGTCCTAGATTCCTTCGCAGGGGCGGAGGTGTGCAGGGAGCTGAAAGACAGCCAATTGCTGCACGGCCTGGCCGACGGCTGGTGCCACGAGCTCTCGGAGCGCTGGCGCTTCGATGAGGGGGTCTTCTCCTTCCTTCAGTGGCTGAGAGTGGACGAGGCAGAGCAGGTGCCTCTGCGCGAAGCCGTACGGATGGCCGGCAGCGCTTCCCGCGGAGGGGCGAGCCGGAGGTCTGTCTGGTCATCTCCCACGCCAAGCGACTGCAGATCAACGCGCCCCAAACCTATGAGGGTGTGGCAGGGCCTGCGACTCGTGGGCGCCGGCGGCAAAGTGCAGAAGGGTGTCTTCGTTACCGTCAGCGAAGTGGGAGAGCGAGTCACGCTGGAAAGCGGGCGGGCAGAGCTTCGAGGCTTGGGAGCTGCTGAAGCACACCCGCCTTTGCAGCGCCATCACCTACGCTTCCGTGCAGGGCCTGACCCTCCGGGGCCGAGTTTGGCTCTGCGACGTGGACTCTCCCCATTTCACCATGAAGCATCTCTACATGGGCTGCTCCCGGACCACCAGTAGCGAACTTTTGAGCGTTTTGTGAGGCTCCCCCGCATCGGGTCGGAAGGCCAGTTTTTGATCAAAACTAAGCGCGTTTTCGGAACGCTGCCGTCCGACGTCAAATTTGACGTTTTGTGGCAGCGGCCCTTTTTAATGGAAAAAATGGGTCGAACGAGACTTGTTGGGAGCAAGGTCGGAATTCCGCCCTTGGTTCCCCATACACCGTGCCGAAGAGTTTTTCCCAGACCATGGAAGTCGTGGAAGTCATGGAAGTCCCCATAGATTGTTTTAAAGAGTCCACCCCAAACCTTGGAAGTCGTGGAAGTCATGGAAGTTGTAGAAGACGGTCCTTGAAGCTATTTTTAACATTTTTGTTGGCCAAAAATCCTCCACAAGCTACAACTTCGAAGTTCTACAAGACGGCCCTTGGAACTCTTTTTCAACCTTGTTTGGGCACAAAATCCTCCATAAGCTGCAACTTCCATGACTTCCACGACTTCCATGGTTTGGGGGAGACTCTGCGGGTGGGGACTTCCACAACTTCCGTGACTTCCATGGTTTGGGAAAGACTCTTCGGCTGGGGACTTCCATGACTTCCGTGACTTCCACGGTTCGGGGGAGACTCTTCGGGTGGGGACTTCCATGACTTCCGTGACTTCCATGGTTCGAGGGAAACTCTTTGGGCGGGGACTTCCATGACTTCCGTGACTTCCATGGTTTGGGAAAGACTCTTCGGCTGGGGACTTCCATGACTTCACTTACTTGCGCTCTCACAATTCGAATAGACTTCGCAGGCCTCCGAGCTACTCCGAGCTAGGGCCCAGAACTCCGAGCTACTCCGAGCCACTCTGAGCGGCTAGTAAAGCTCTCAGAGCTCTCTGAGCGGCTAATTACCTGAGCTTTCACAATAGACTTCGAAGGCCTCCGAGCTACTCCGAGCTAGGGGCGCCCCAGAACTCCGAGCTACTCAGAGCCAATCCGAGCTCCGAGCGCTCCGAGTGCTTCGAGCCCTCCCAGAAACTCCGAGTTACTATCCTGCGAGCCCAGAGCCTGCCGTCTCCGGAATTGCAAGCTCTTCTAAGCCCCTAAAATAGTGGTGCCTCTGGGCGCCAAAGTCTACAATTGACAGACTCCAAAGTACAGAATTCTGAGCTATGGCTGCAAACAGCCCCCGCAAGTGCTGTGTGTGGGGAGCTGGGTCTCGGAGTTTTTGGGCGCCACTCTAAGTAGCTCGGAGCAGTTTGGAGTGCTCGGAGTTCAAAAAACTGGGAGTATCAAGCTTCCTGTGATTTCCAGGGAGCTTGATACTCCCTATTCGAAGCTCTGAATGGCTCAGAGCAGCTCGGAGTAGCTCGGAGTTCTTGGGCGCCACTCTGAGTAGCTGAGCAGGTTGGAGTGCTCGGAGTTCAAAAAACTGGAACTACCAAGCTTCCTGTGATTTCCAGGGAGCTCCCTATTCCAAGCTCTGGGCTCAGAGCAGCTCGGAGTAGCTCGGAATAGCTCGGAGTTCTTGGGCGCCCCCCACTCGGAGTTGCTCGGAGTAGCTCGGAGGCCTGCGAAGTGCTCGGAAGCGCGCCGACTCCCGAATTGCAAGCTCTTCTGAGCCCCTACAATAGTGCTGCTTGCGGGCGAAAGAGTCCACTATTGAGAGGCTTCGAAGTAAAGAATTCTGAGCTATGGCTGCAAATAGCTCCAGCAAGTGCCGTGTGTGGGGAGCTGGGACTACCCTCCCTAGAGAGAGGCGCGTCGCTCCCAAACAGCTCCGGAGCACGACAAAGCACTCTAAAACAGCTCGCGAGCTTCCGAAGCAACTCGCGGCCGCTTTGCAAGCACTTTAGCACTTAGAGCCCCTAAGATTACAGACCCTACGGCCTCCACAGGCCCTCAAAGTACCGAATTCTAACCTATGTCTCGAAACAAGGCCTGTTGCTATCACAGAGTGGGACCTCACAACACCCTCCCTAGAGAGAGCGCGGAGTTCTCCAACCCATTGTTTCGAATCCTGGTGTCTCCAGCAGGAAACCAAGATGCAGCTTCAACCGTTGCGATTGTCTCGTATTCAAACAGGCCACAGACCATTGGATTTAGATTGGATTAGACGGTTCCAATGTCTGAGCCTCTCAAACTCGAGCTGCTGGCAACAAGACTTTCATCAGTGATCTGATCTGCCGACGCGCAATAACTGCAGCAGCTGGTTGCGCCAGTTGCGCATGGTTCGCGTGCCCAAGACGCCCTGGAAGAAGAAAAGAATTTCTAAAGAAAAAGTAGTTGAAAAAAACAAACGAAAAGAAAAGAACTTTGCGGATTGTGACCATGGGCCAGCAATTGCCTGGTCTGCGCGGTCGCAGCAAGCTGCCTATTGACCTGAGGGGACATAACCAATCAGAAGACCAATCACAGCTGTTGTCATCTGTGATCACACAATGCACCTTGGTACTCACGACAATCTGCGTTCCCCTGCCGACCAAGGACCTTTGGAAGTCTTTTACAACCACATCCGACAGTGCACCGGTTGGACATGCGTGTCATGTTCTCGAACAAGAGGTTATTGCATGAAGAAGCGCCAAATGGAAAATGTACAGTTTTACTGTGCTGTGGCAAGTCTCTCAAACTGACAAACAAAGCCAAGTTTTTTGAACGTGTAGCTAAAACGTGTGGAAGAAAGAGTCACTGTCTGGAGTAGTGAATAACTATTGAGTATTGAGTGTTTAGTTTTTTGTGCGAAGTATACAACACGGGTACAACCCATCGTAGATGGATACAAGATGTTGGAATAGCACAGCATAGTACAAAACAGTAGGGAAAAAACAAAATCCACTTTTGTTTCGTTACGACGCATGTTGGTTGTGTCCGTCTCACTTGAAGACTTGAGTCGAGATGAGGACATGTCTGAACAGAACGGATCAGTCGGCAGTAAGTAATTTGCTGTCGGTTCATGTTAGCAACATGCACGGTTCCATTTTGTCACGAATTGGTCATGTTTATGGCAGGAAAAGCGTTTTTTCCAAACTATTTCGTGTTTTGGATCAGTTTGCAGGGTCGCATGCTCGAAATCGATAACAGCTTCAAAGGTGTTTCCGAACATGCAACGAAAATAAGTCCTGGACTTGTTGCCAATGTCGAGTTCTTCAACATGTCACAACAGACACAGCAGGAATGATGACCATGTGGTGCTGTTGAATGCAGCGGGCATAAACCAACCGTTTTAGAGAAAATGCTGACCACGAAAGCTGAGCATTGCTCCGATGCAGCATGGTTGGACTTGGCTTCCGCATGGGCATCAGTGCTGCCATGACAACAGTTCTCGTGCTCCTGCAGAGTTGTTCAGAAGTCATGCATCCCATGCCAGTGTAATCATGAGGGTGGTAGCTTTGCTCCGCATCTTGTGCCAGGTGGTCAACAACAATCCGGAAAGACGGTCCGCTTCTCAAGTCCTGTTGCGAATCAGTGTTCGTTTCAGGTGTCGCGAACGTGATTGGCTCAAGATGGAAGCCTCGTGAAGCAAGTTCGGTGGTTGACACATACAGAGAAATATTTGTCTCTCTCCGGGTTTGTTTAAACCACAATGCTCCGATGGGAGTTGGGCGATCCACCAGCAAGGACAAAGATGCTCGCTGGGAAGTTGCATTGAAGTTAGCCAAGTTCTGTTGGTACCAATTGGCACCTACTTCTCCAGGATGTTTTGGTTTCGGAACCTACTTGGTCATGATATGGCGGAGCCAATTCGCGCCCTGGATGAGATGATCCGACGGGATAGTTTTTGCTGCTCAGATTCAGAACAACTACGCTACTCAGGGCACGACTTCGTCGTAACACTGCTCGAATGCACCAGCATGTTGGCAACTTGCCAGATAGAGACAGCGCCAACGAAGACAATCCTTGCCCTCATGGTTCTTGTCGCAAAACCGTAAAACTGTTACGAAGAGGATTTTCCAGATTCCTGCAGGAGGGTGGTTGTTTTTCATGATTCAAGGTTCCGAACACATTGAATACCCCAAAAGTGCGACATCCTGGACATTCTGCCCGAGTCTGCATCGCAGAGTCTGTGCAAGCAGGTGGTTGACAATGGAGCCATCTTGCAAAGCGGCGCTTCTGGAGGCTCTGAGCAAGAACAGGTTCAGCTCCTCAGACATTTCGCCGACAGCAGATGAGCGGCTGATTGCAACACATGAGATTTTTCAAAGTTGCGAGTTCAGGTTTCTGGCTGTGTTGAATGATGATGAGTTGCTCTCTGTGGTGCACATGTTGGACCTCCGAATCAGAGATGAGTGGGAGCAACTGTGCCTGACCGAACATGAGTTCGAGTCATGCAGGAGGTGATTCGGGATGCTGCCGGACTTGGACTGTTGCTGGAAGAGGGCAAGGAGCCTGACAGCATCTACGTGGTTCAGGACTGCAAGCTTTCTGGTTCCTCGGCAGAAGCGCTGCAGTGAGCTTTTGGGCTCCTTTGGATATGCCCATGCAAGGAGGGATCTCTGAATGCAAGCGTCGCCGGAAAGCTTCTAAGCGACTCTTAGGGTTTCTGATGGTAGGCATCCAGGCGATGTTTGTCACATGCACATGTTGCGTGCAACCTCACTCTTGCCTCAAGGCTGTCGGCGGTTCTGGGTGTTGGTGCGTGTGTCGGCATTGAAGGAGTGTTGGCTGCTCAGAGAGCTCTTTTGCCTGCCGTGGGCATTGGACAGCCTGACTAGAGTATGCAGGCTGCGGGGCACGCAGCCCCAATCTGTTTCTGTTGGATCTCCCAGTGCGGTGCTCTGGCGAGCAGATGCTGCTGCCATCTCGAGGCAAGTTTGTGAGAGTCTGAAGACTTGCCCTTCTTAGAAAGGTTTTCGTGACCAGGCTTCTGGAAGAGAAGGCATCGAAGCAAGAGACCAAGAAGACGGGATTGTCACACTTGCCATTCAGCTGTCGCCATTTAATGGAAAGTCCGAGGGCAGCGGCCGAAACGCGGCAACTTGGCTGTGGTGTCTTTGATGAGTGTCGGGTCACTCTTGGCTTGTGTTACTCGTTGCGGCTAGATTCTGCAGACGGCTCATTGCCACGAAGGAAATTCATTGACCGCGTGCGATTGTTCGATTTTCTGCCGGAAGAGAAGAAGGCGAATGGAGTGCCCAGACCGGACTTTCTGCCGCTATCAACAATTCGCTCTCAGCATGTTTGAGCTCGGTTGCAGGTCCACCTGCCCAGTCTGACCGTTCATCACGAGGCCTTCGGCCACGAGGCTTTTTCCTGCGACGATTCCGCTGCACGACAGGTTCTCCACGCAGGAGACCGAGCCCTTGCCTCGGCCAAGGCTCTGCTTCCGGGAGCTTGTGGTATCACATGGTGAGGCTCTCACGAAAGGGGAAATACCGCTCGCCATTTTCATCGTGAAGACGGGCAGGTGCCACCAGCCACACTGCAAGAGCTTCACAGCTGAGAACTGCAGGCCTCTGAACACGGCCCAGTCAGGCTCTCCGGCAAGAGGGGTCACAGTGTTTCGCCGGGAGCACATCCTGACAGTCCAAGCACGAGGAGGCAGAACATGAAACGCGAGCTGTCGACCAGGTTTCCCAAGTGCTTGTAGTGGGACAATCAGTTCTTTTCCAGGATGTGGACCTATTTACCTGGAGAAGTTATTGGTGCCGGGGCATATCTGTTTGGACGGCTGGAGAGCCCAGCAAGGCCTGATTCGAGCTCGTGGATCGTACTCCTGATTCATTCGTCCGCCGGTGCTGAGTTTCCTCGCCTGGCTGCGGAAGGATAGATGTAACGGCTGAGAAGGAGTGCACGCTATTGTCCTTGAACTTGAAGCAGCTGGTTCAGGCCGTCATGACATGGTGAGCCGAAGGGAGAGCGAGACAGACAGGAGAGGATGAACAAGCGTCGGACGTTCCTTCGGTGTTTGAATGTAACTTCCCTGTATACCGCAATGTGTTTGATACAAGCTCGTCTCGTGACCTTCAAGTGCTGCCTGTATCGAAGTCAAGACGCCACTGTTTGGAGTGCTAAGCAAGCGCTAGTTAAAGTTCCAAAAAAGAGGACACAGATATAGAAACAGGCAGAAGATGACTGGGCAGACAAGAACGGAACACAGAGGGCACCATACTGCGAGAAAGAGAAAGTCCAATCCGGAAGGGCAACAGCATTGGTCACAGGGGCGGGACCGCAGAGAACTGTGGAATTGCACCGTCCCGGCCATGTTTCGCCCACTCACTCAATCACTCACGCTTCTTCGCTCACTCGCCCGGGGCCCGGGGACCACTCGAGAATTCCTGCCCCTTTGCATTGGCTCAGTCCCTTGTTCTTTCACCCTCTGCCTGTTGATCACACCTTTCCTGCTTGTCTCACTATTTCACTGTTTGCACGCTTCTCTGATTTGCCGATGTGCCCTGCAGCATCTCATGTTGCCCGTTCTGCTGGCATGGCTTGGCTGCCTCTTGTCCACCCGTGATCTGAAACACTTTTGATGCACTTACTCTGTCAAAACCCAGCTTCACTGATATACAAGTAGCCGAGCGAAAGCAGTCGGAGGCGTACCATGGGATAGCATGTGTTTCACGACGTCCATGGCAAGGGATGGGGGGGCTAAGGGCTCGCTCGCTGCTCCTTTTTGCCGATTTGCAGAAGAGAGCTTTCTGCTTGAAACTTGGCTTCCTCACGCCGCCAATGCAATGTTAGAGTGACTCCGTTGCTCCTTGATCTGAGGTGGTGCGTGTGCTTGGGTTCTGGCCTTTTTGCCCAAGAGGAAAGAAGCAACAAACCGTGGCAAGTAGTGGATACCGCATCAACCGAGGACGACAGCCCTCTGCTTTTCCGAAGACCCCAGACCCGCTTCACATCGTTAGGTGCAAGTTGGCCTGCTCGGCGGTGTGGCTTCACATGTAGGGAGCAAAAGTCGAACATCAAAGTATTCCCAAGCCCCAGACCCGAAACTCTCAACAAGCAAGGGAGATACGAAGCTGATGTGGAGAAGTTGCACGTGTGTGCCCTGGTCAGACCTTCGGGGATGACCTTGACGAGTGCCTGCAGCGGGCTTTCATGGCTGCTTGATTGCAGTGAGAGTGCAGGCGACACGTTTTCCAGTCGGATGCGCTGCAAGGTCTTCGGCCTGAATCAGCTTCCTTTCCTGGCTGGCCTCACAGCCGCGCAGAAGCAGGTCATTGTCAAAGCCATGGAGGTGCTTCGAACATTTATCCCATGTTTTCATTCTCGATGGTGTGAGCCGTGGTTGAAGCGGTGCAAATAAGGTGAAGCATTATCGTGCTGCTGAGCAAGTCTCCGTCGATGTGCAGCCCAAGCCCGAATTCGAAGATTATGGATTCCATCAAATCAGCCGAGTTCTTTTCAAGAAGTCCTCTCAGGTTTGCCATGGTCTTTGATGGCACCTTGCTGGTGCAACAGGGAACTGGTCCCATTCTGGTCGTCGCCTGAGTACCTTTCGTCTGCTTTTGCGTCTCAACTACATCGACTTCACAGGAGCTTGGTTTTGCGGAACACTACCTCGATTCGACCTTGTTCTCGGCCCAGGCCGGGCACTTAAGGCACTTAGTACCTCCATCTCCAAGCTTCGTAGACGCAACGAGCAAGCTCAGGGGGATGCAGAGCGAGCAGACGATGAGCTGAAGGACGCGCCAACCGAGTTGCAAGAAAAGCAGGTGCTATGATCTGCTCCGAGCTGCAACAAAGGAGGGGGGCTATGTCTGCTATGTGCGAACCGAAAGCAGCAGTCCATGAGCCGCATGACATGCAGAGCGGGAGGAAGCCAGTGATTTGATGGAGGAGGAGGTCAAGGCACGAACTGTTGCCTTGCTCTGTTCCCTTTGCCTTGTCAAGCTCTCCTTAAGAATCCAATGATCTCAGCGAAGACCTGTCTCAGCACTGCTATGCTTATCTCGAACGGCAGATGCGAACTTGGCACTCTCAAAGCCGCAACACGTTCTTTCCAAGCTATATGTAGACCGATCCATCTCGATGGAGGTGCTTGACCTGACCTCTGCATCCCTTTGTACTAGCAGGTCTCCTCTCTCGTGTTAATCATCAGACCTCCTGCCGGGCTTCAAATATTGATTCGAATCACGAGCATGACCTGTCTGACTTGTCAAGTGCGCAGGGGCACATCACACCCTTGAATGCCATGAGCTTTCCAAGAAAAGGCATCAAAACAGCGAAGCTTCACGCAGCAGGGAGTTATGCCGATTTAAAGCAGCCTTTCTCTGCGACTTTCAAGATGGTGGCAGGTTTAAGAATAGAGGATGAACCTGATGCCCCCGTGGCGCGGGTTTGGTGTCAGCTTTGTGTTTCTACGACTTTGTTCTAAGCTTGCAACGATGCATCGACTCTCTGCAGGCACTAGTCCGTTTCTCGAGCAATTTTTGTAGCGTACGGTCTCCTGGGAATGTCTTCAACAGTGCATGAACATCCGTCCGTGATTCAATGCTGTTGCGGCCAAATGAGCGGAAGAACACTGCCGTTCCAAGGGTGCGACGCGTCTCGCTGGTGGAGCCTCTGGTGTTCGCCTGGCCACTCTGGCTGCTCCCGGTGCCGCCAAAGCATTCAAGGCAACATTCATCAGATCGACCAGAGTTGAAGTTCATGAAGCCTCCGGCGCCGTCACAAGCAATCGGCAGGAGATGGGCTTGTCGCCAGTGTACAGCGCAGAGGCCTCGCAGTTTCTTGAGCCCGTTTTCAGTCCTTTTCCAAGCGACAGCTCCCAATCCAACAGAGGACATGAATGACATCGCTCTGGAGGTGTTGCAGGCTGTCTGCTTGCAGTCCTGTCGCAAGCCTTGTTTGCCTGTCTGCTGTCCGGCGATCTGCTTCACCTGACTGCCTGAGAGTGGAACACGTAAACCCTGTTTGCAGGCTCGGCGTGTGTCGGAACCTCAACTTGGGCATGCTTCTTTGGTATGTGCCGCATGCCCTTCATGCCTTCGCATGCAGCTTGTGTGATCTTTACAAGCTCTCACTGAGGTCTGTGTTGAGGCATCTGTCAGGTGCCCAAATTGAACGACTTGTCAAGCTGCCAGAGCCTGAGGGGTGGGGGGCAGAATGTCAGGTATGCACTGATCCGCCAGCCAATTGGATGCAACGGTTTGCGCAGCTCTGAATTTACATCCCAGAGAAACGGTGGCGTGGCCATCCTAAAGGACTCAACTCATCGTCTCTTGTTTTCCCGCCCCGGGGCCTCTATAGGTCGGGATCTTGAACGTCCATAGGGTTTAGGGCCATTTCAGTTTTTTGGGGTTTGGGGTTCCAGGTTTCTGCATGCATCCCGACGGTGGGCATGCTCATGATCATGTGCATGAAAAGATCTCATGAGTGGACCGGCAAAGGATCGCCCTCCTTGAGAACCTGCCGATAGAGACGACCGTTGAAATGCCGAAACAATTTGTCACACCCGATGGTTTGGGTTTGGGTTTAGGGAAGTCGCTTCTCTTGGTCGCTGCTCCGTCGGCGATATCAAGATCTGACGGCAATCATGAAGATCGCGACAATTCCCTTTTCCCCTGGGCGAGACTTGGGGTTAAGACGACGAGAAGCAGCAAGAAGACGACAAACGAGCACAGATCCCACAAGTTTAGAGTCATTTAGAGTCTAAGGTTTGAGGTTCAGGGCCCAGGTAAAGAGACTTGCAAGGAGACGGACACAGCATTATCATTGGTCCTACTACTGTTGATGTTTGTGTTGCCGTGATAGTGTGTTGAAACTGAAACCCGAATCTGTCCGAAATCCAACACGCGCAGCAGGATGGATTGTAAGATATTGTACACACTTGCAGTGGTTAATCGGAAGTGCTCAGTCGACTGCACCAGATTCCTAGCATGGAGTCTCGGCCGCAAAATCTTTGATGCATCAAGATCGATACACCACGAAGCACGCTGAACCCCAGACCTTAAAATTGAACCCTACACCCCTACGTCCTAAGCCTGTGAGAAAGCTCAAAGCCCCCAACATCAAAATCCATAAAAGTTAAAACGAAGACGGTCACGAGCATCGCGATCCTAGGCGAGCCATCCCCGAGACTGTTACAAGTGACATCTTCGAAATTTTTCACAGAACAGCAACTGTCACGAGGATTCCCCACACAAGCCTTCCCAACTCCTTCACTGTCGCCGTTTTGATACCTGTTTGCAAGGCCACGCTCCGAACAGAATAGTTGCCACGAGTCAAGGGCCCTCACCCTGTGACGCACACTTGTCACGAGCATTCGGCATCTACCGCCCCTTCCGCCATGAGACCGTACCATGGCGGGGGGGGGGGCGGCCTTTGGTAACCCGTGCTGGGTAGAACCTGAAAGTGCAAGAACATCGCTGCTGAGATTTGGCTTTTCTCAGTGCGATGTGGTGTATCCACGCCAACTAAGGCATGCAGAAGCCTTGTGGTCTGGAAGTGTGATCGGTTTCAGGCTTTGAGTGTGTCTCCTGCCATTTCTGACCACCGAGTCCTTTTCAGACACGTTCTTGTTCATTCTTCATCCTGTCTAGGACTTATGTTCGGAATATATATATGTTATATATATATATATGTACAGATATATGCACACACATGCTTGTCCGTATATTGCGTAAGCATGTGCTTACCTGTTATATATACATCCGCATATCTACATATTGCATATATGTATGTAGGTATGTATGTAACTTCATATGTATATATATATATATACACATGTATATACACGTATACATATACATACATATATATATATATACACACACATACACATATGTACATGCGTATATGTGTATGTATACATGTGCATATTGCATGATCTGTGTCCATGTCTAGGTTGGTGCCACGGGTCTATGCTTCTGGTGCCTCTATCTTCGAGCAGGCACCCGCACGAATACCATCATCTGAAGTTGGCAGCCTGTGCAGCTCTAGCTCATTTTTGTTCTGGCGGTTAAGGGCGAGATCGGCACGGCCTTCTACATAGTCGCGAGTGGCCAGGCACAAGTTCTCCTTCATCGCAGTGATTGATGTACACAGTCCATGTATGTCTGTCCCTTGCTACTGTCTGGTCGGCCAGGTTCAAGTATTCATTGATGGGAAACCGGTCCGCACGCTGGCAAGGCTGCCAAGCGTCGACGCTTGTTGAGGGACTCTGTGAAGACCGGAATATGTACTAGGGATTGCGAAAAGAGAATCCGAAAGCCTTGCTCCAGTTGCAAGTTTCAGGTTCAGGCATCAGGGCTGTTTGCCCAAGATACCCTTCCTTTCAGGGGTCCGACGCATGCTTCCATGTGCAAACCGCGTGGTTCTTTTTTCTGGCAATGGTCCGGCACGGGTTTGTCTAGTTGAGTCCAGCATTTTGATAGTGCTTGTCAGTTGTTAGTTTGGTGAAACCAAAGGAGACAGCTTGAATGGCTCAAACCCGTGGGCTAACTGCCTTTTTGCCCCTGCTAGGTATATAAGCCACAATAAGAACAGTTATCAGCGGTCTGCAAGGCTGTCGAAACACACAGGGGCATGTCACATCCTTGCACGAGGGCAAGCAGTCAGTTTCAAAGATGGATGGACTAGCAGATAGTCGCGTATTGCTGTGGTCTTGTTTGCCCTGTTCAGTTCGTGACCGTGTATTTGGAGAGGCATGGGCACTTCGGAGAGCGGGCACTGCTGTTCGAGGAGAGAGCGACCGCGTTCTGTCGCCACGGTCGCTCTGTGATCTGCTGTTTGCTTCTCTGCAGGGGCAGCGGCGCACGGCCTCTGTGCGTGTCCGAAGCCACGAGGCATCTGGACCAAGAGCTCTGGCGAAGTTTCCCAGAGCTTCAATTCCTCAGGCGGAGCTGTGGTGCCTCGAGAAGGTGGCCTTTGAGGAAGTTCTGACGGACCACTTGCGAGAGGCCACTGTGCCACTTTGTGCCTCGGAAGTTTCACAGCCGCTCGAAGCAGCGCAGGAGATCATGCGAAGAATTGAGATTCAGGACCTGTCTCGAACATCAGACTAGCGTGCGCGCTGTGTCTGTTGTGCAGGACTCGCAGACCGACCTGAAAGACCTGTGCCATGTTCGCGTTATCGGTATTGGAGGCTTCGGCCATGTGAGGCAGCATCATCTCCAGAAGCGCTGCCATCTGTTTCGCACACAGCCCTGCAGCATGTCCTCCCCCTGAGCAGGCTGGTCGAGCACCGCCGGACAAAGCTTCGGTCCTCTCGCTCGGTGATTGTTCAGCCATTTGCATCATGTGTTGAGGCCTGATACGGAATTAGCAGATCTTTCTGAGGTATGCTTTGAAGCAGGTGAAGAAGGCACCTGCTTCGAAGATTCGAGCGATGTCTTGCACAGCTTTGGATGCGGTTTCATACTGCAAGGTTGACGGCCGAGTTCCAGAAAACGTCCGCCGGACACTCACAGCAACACAACCCTCACCTTCAATAGAAGCAGCCAGCCAAGGTAGGGAGTGCGAGCTCCTGGCTGAGATGGACACGGTTTCAATGGCTGCCCGCCCATTTGCTGTGTTACAGCCGCTGTCAAGCTTCAGTGCAGGACCATCCGTTTATTTTGGATATGCTACAGGTGTGTCAGCCTCATTCGCTCTCATGCGGATTCTTGTTTACGGCGCATGCAACGCGGCATGATCACGACAAGGTATGAGACTACGAAAAGCTACTACATCCTCATGGAGTACATCATGGGAGGGACTTTGCGTACCGTTCTGCAGGCGATGACGTGCATGCGTGGGACTTCGCAAACATGTTCGTGGCCACCGGCTTATCAGTAGAGGCTATTCTGAGTTCATGCGGCCGTGTACTTGTAGCCGAACTTCGGCAACCCAATGTCATGTGCGAAAAGTTTCAGCAACCATGAAAATCCGATTTGATGTGATCCGGCTCGTTCCCTCTTGCACGGGTAGGACCTAGACGGCTGCTTTGTCAATCATCGACTTCTTACTGGTTGACTTGATGTGGCTTTCGCTCTATGTCTATGCCCTCTGACAGGTTGTGAAGATTTATGAAGTAAATCAGCAGTGAACAGTCCATCCGAGCTGCACCCACAAGCAACAAGAACCGAGTCCGTCTGTCGGTGCGGGGAGCCTGGTAGAAGCCAGACAGATTCTGATGTTTTTGCATGCCTGCTTCCACGAACATCATGCGAAAATGGGTTGCCATGTTGTTGTCGAATCGGACAAATCGCTATGGTAGGCAGATTTGTACCTCGAAGCATGTGAGACGTTCTTGGAAGTGCAACACAGTTGACAGCCTGAAGTGGCCGTAAACGCACGATCTGTGAAGAACCCTCGCATTCGTGCTAGAGATCGAAAGTTGGAGTGCTGTGGGCGGCTGTGCTCGGAGCAGGCTGAAAGGATGCTGCAGCGCGAAGCTGCGTGCTTCTACGCGGGCTCATTGATCATGGTGCTGGAAGTGCTGCACGACAGGTGCCCAAGACAGCTTTGCAACAAAACAGCTCTGACATGCGCCACCTTTGCAGAAATATCGTTTATCGGGACCTGAAGCCAGAGAATGTCATGGTGGATGCCAGAGGCAGGTTCCCAGTGTCTTACTGGCACCGCAGTTAAGGGTGATCTTTCGTTGTTCAGGTTATGTGAAGCTCATCGATTTTGGCATCGCTAAACGATTAGACGAGGACGTATGCAGTGGCTCAGACTTGGTGGAGAGCTTTGAGAGCGGCAGGATGGCCGGACGTTTACTTGTGTCGGAACTGCGCACTACATGGCTCCAGAGGCCTACTTCAATGGGGAGGGAACAGTCGGAGCAGGGAGCCTGTCAGGCCATTCTGAGCCGAAGAGAGGGCTACGGGACTGAGGCCCCTTGGGTCACGTTTGGCTTCTCCAGTGTGCGAAGAGTGCTCGGTCGTGAACATGGCCCCGCAGCCCGACCACGTGACCGCCGCGAGTATTCATGACTACCCATGCACAGGACGGTCCGGTCGTTACAAACCTCAACGACCAGCCTGACCCCATGCCGACATCCGCATTTAACCCGATGGTACCGGGCGAGCACGCTAAGTGCCGCGAACAACATCCAATATCGACATCAATAAACATGGACTTCATGATGTCGCAGTCGGACTCTCCAAGGTGTCGGCTTTCCGGGTGTCCGTGTTGCCGACGCCGACAGTCGACGAACTGCTCGTTCGCTTCGCCTCTCATCCACCCTTCATCCTTCTTCCCTCGCGATGCCGGTGTTTCATTCAAGAGCGGTTCTGAGTGACCGGCTTGCATAAGTTTCCACACATGATTTTGCCACAGGGTGAGTGTTCGTGCACGAGAGGTTGACACCTGGTCGCTGGGTGTGCTCCTATTTGAGTTTCTTTGTGGTCAGCATCCATTCGGAGCTTTCTTAAATCAGCAGCAGGCCTGGACCCGTGCGCTTCGCAGTTTTAAGACGTTCTTTGCTCCCCGCCGCAAGGAGATCTTCGAAGCGGTGTTGAAGCAGGCGATGCTGTGTCTTTGCACACGTTGAGTTCCGATGTTCCATCAGCCACGGATCCGATTCTCCCCCCGGTGCCAGCTGTGGGACAGAACCTTGAAATCAGGAGGCGAAGAAACTGGAGTTCTGGGCTGGATGTTCACTCCCCATGTCGCCTATGCCCACCTGCAGCAGGGAAGCTTTCACATCACAGCAGAACAACTGACCATGTTCCTCGCCTGCGGCTTTTGACAAACGATTCTACACGCGCAAAGCTGCTCAAATCGTGGACACACTGCACTTGCTGTGTGGCGATGCAATGTAATGTGCGAGCAAACAGCACGTCAATGCGAATGCCACGGCTGCTTAAACATAGCTGCAACTCCTCCTCCTGAAGAATTCAACGAAATCAACGACTGTATCTCGACATCTTGTCCCGGAGCGAGGGTCCCGAAAGTCTTCCAAGACACAAACGGACGACCAAGAACGAGCAGATGTAGACAATGCAATCCAAACATGTCGAGCTTTGGGTAGCCAATTGGCAGGCATCAACCTTGACATGCTCCGTAGAATACTTCATGCAGTACACAATTCTTCGCATCTTAGAGTGTTCGAGAGATGAGAGTTAGCACCAAATCGACCGGGGTCTGTGTCGAGCTACATGGCACAGGAGCTGGCCTTTCCCGATGCATACCAAGACCCGTGCGGGCGTCGCCTGTTGCAGGTGGCTTGAGGTGCGATTAGTTGTAGACCTACCATCTTGGGAGCCAGGAGATGTTGGAGAAGAGCCCCGAAAATCGGCTTGGTGCCGGAGTGTTTGGTTGGGATGACGTCAAGGATCCTGCCAGCTCACTTCTGCTGGCATTCTTTTGGAATGTGTGTCGTGTGACAGGAACATGACTTCCTCGCCTGGCCCGGAGATGTGAGCCTGTTTGCCTGGCACCCAGGTGGCTTATGAATAGCTTTGTTCGCAAAAGTATTGCCCAGCTTGAACATACAGACCTGCGTGGCAATTGATGTAAGGACTGCATAGTGGAGCGGATGGTTCATCCCCCACATGTGCCCAAGAGTGCAAGCTTCGTTGAGCACTGTTCGCAGGCAGGGCCCAGTGTTGGCTCGTAAAAAGTGGTTCCAGGGAGCCGGGGTGAAGCGAAGGAGCTAACTTTCAACGATTGGCACGAAGAGAAGGAGATCGTGCGCAGCCGAAGGTGTGAGGGAGAATCGATTGTGCTGCATCGCTTCACAGTTTCGAGGGGCTCAAGCTCACTACTGGTTTACACATGCTGTGTGATCCTTCAGGGATGAGGAGAGCAATCTCGAATAGGTCCCGGAACAGAGAGGCCAATCAGAGGCCACCGGGTTTGTACAGCAAGCCCAAGCCCAAGAGAGCTCGAGCTGAAATGATTTCAGGAAGAGCCTCCAGTATCGGTAACATTCCCTGTCGCAGTGCGATGCGAACTCAAACTCCAATTTCACGAAGCCGAGCGGCCACGTAAAGACGGCTTTGGTACCATCCTGCACAGAGCTACAGGTACTCGTGGACCGCATTCTTTTTGAGATGGGTTCCTTCGGTGCTTCTCGCAGACCTATTATTGCAGGGACTGCCGAGAGAAAATAGATTTGGGCACACAAGGCCACGCATTTGTGGCAAGTTTTGGAAGCATGAGGAAGTGCAGTGGACAAGTCTTCGCACAGTAACGGACAGTTTTTCCGGGTGGTGTGCAGCACGATTTGCTGTACTGAGCGATATTCCAGAACGCATGCTGAGTTGCCGAGATTGCTCCCGAGCCTTTCATGTGGAGTGTAGCACAGGAGTTGCACGCTGCTCTGGCAATTTGGGCAGTTAATTTCCAGGAACCGTGTGAAAGCCGTACCTGGTGGAAGCTCCAGCGTTGTGCATAGCTTGCACATCAACGAAGACGGACCGTCGGCGGATCACAATCGGTCGCATGATTCCAGGGTTGCTCAAGCAGGGCGCGCTTGCTGGGGCGGGGGGGCTCGAACTCGTGCTTTTTGCTGATCGTCAATGTCTTGTAGGCGGTGCGAAAAACAGTTCCAGCATCTATTGTAGCATTGTAGCAAATTGGTGACGGCACGCTCTTGCGCAGTCACGCTGGATACCGTGCAGGAAGTGCGTCACGTACAGATGAACCTCAAGGCCTCGGTCGGTGAAGAGCGCCGAGGCCTTGACCCTCAGTCGAAGTCGAAAGAACGAAAGCCTGTTCTTTTGTCACCACTGCTCTTCTTATTGTTGTAGTTATTATCATCAAAATAACTGTTATTCTCATTATGACCTATTCTGATGAATCGCATTATTGATTTATCTGCTCCGTCTGGCACGGGTGCCAGGCCAGGAGCTTGCGAGGCGCGACTTGGCGCTTTGGTCGCAGCCGGAGGTGTCGGAGCGGGCAAGCCAGCCATCGGAGATTTCGTTTCTAGCACGGACAGAACTTACTCGTCCATCAAAGTTCCGAACATAAACTCGTGAGGACAGATCACCAACAAAAGCCTTGTAGAGTCGCAGCAGTCCTGCCGAGTGAAATGTTCCTCTCGGATCAAGCTGGCAGGCGAGAACTTTCAATCTCCAACTCTCGTTCCGCAACTGTGCCGTCAGTTCGGCTTCGGTGCGTCCTGGTCTTGGAACCGGCTTGTCTCGGTCTGTTGTCAGGACCTCGAAACTTTCGAACTCAGCTCGGTCTCTTCGTTATCCAGTTCTTGGTGTCGGCACCGCTTCCGATACCATGCAGCCCACAGATCCGGAGGGGCCACCTTGATAGCACAGTCTGTGTTGCAAGGGATCGGCGGTCGCCTCCGAGATGCCTGCCAGGACCTGCATGAAACGAGTCTTCGGATTGAAGGCTAAAGGGAGTTTGGGGGGGTTGGTGACTCTGTTGTTAGAGATGGACTACCGATCGGCTCCCCGATCGGGGAAGGCTCCAGCTGGACAGATCTGCAGCTTTGGGTTCAAGCCTTGGACTCAACACGCCAGTGCTCCCAAGCAGAAAGCAGCACGACTGAATGGCAAAGCAACAAGAGAATAGTGAGTCATGCAGGTTTGCTATGCTCTGTTTTTTTTCCACACTTCCCTTCGTCTTCGCTTGCCGAGCCATGGGCGGCAAAGCGAGCCAGCCTGAGCCACCTAAGCCTGCTCCCAACTTGCAGGCTCCCTCTCCTTCTCCCCCTCCCTCCGTCCCTCCCTCCCTGCCCCATACAAGCAGACAGGTAGGTTGAAAACAGACAAGCACATGCTGAGATAAAGGGGTAGGTTGACTTGTTTTCTTGTGCATTCTGTTCTTCAGCAGGCTCGCTTGTGACTTGCAACTCGGGATTCATGCGATGGTGCCAGGATGCCGCGAGCAACCTAGAGCAGAAAATCGAAGAGCTCGGAGCAAAGATCCAAAAGGCCGATGAGGAGGCTCTATTCCGCTTTTTGTTCCAGGGCGGTCCAAACTTCCGCAAGCCCGCTGGGCTTCTTCACTTCGCACTCGCAGGCGAGGCAGTGGGTGGCAAAGCAAAGCAGCCTGGACTGAATCCGTGCAATCAGTAGCGTGTCAGGGGCTACTCCACACAGCTGACGGCAGCTGTTTCGTCGTGTAGCTGACAGTGGCACAGCCGCATGTTGCACCTGATGTGCAGAAGAGGTTCTTTGACCCAATACTCGGACCGGCGACTGCGAGCATGTTGGATGTTGTGTGCCAGTATGATGGAACTGACACCGTTTGATGTAGAAAGCACAGGGTCTTGTTGATTGAGAACGCCAAACTACCGCCCCTCGCAGGGCTGAGGTTGGCGCGATTTGGCTTCCGAAATTGATGAAAATAACTTCTGCTCAACTTGAGGTCTGTTGTGCTGATAGTTCTGCTTCATGCCAGACATCCTGTGCAAGGTTCTTGAAGTGGGTGCCGTCTTGGGGGGTTGCATTCGCCAAGGCACAGATGCAACTGCCAAAGCTCGCGCCATGCAAGCCCTGAAGCGCCTCTCGGCCTGCGCTCGAGCTCCTCCAAGGCACCGATAGAGAAATCACTAGGAGTGAAACAGGAAGATGTCTCGGTATCGGACTGAATGAATCTCAGCTTCTATGGAGCAAAGGCAAGAAGCTCTACGAGCAGCAACGTGATCAGTTGGCCACACGCTCACAGAACGGTTTGGTGTTGCTTCGTGATCTCTTCTAGGTCTGATCGGGAAGCTTGGCAATCGAGTGAGGTGGACACCCAGTTCAATGTGGAAAACCTTGCCTTCCAGCAAGAGCAGGTGGGGGCCCTCTTGCATAATCAGAAGTTGTCCAAGGCCAGTCTGCGTCGAGTCGTGACCGATTCTACATCTGAGAGCCCACGAAGCATCAGCTATCCTAGTAGCTACGTGCTGGTGAAGCTGATGACCTGAATGGAAGAATTTTGACACACCTGGGCTCTTGCAAGGCGAAGGAGTGTAAATGACAGCCCATATAGGTTGCAATTCAGTCCGGTAAACAAAGGAACTCAGTCGAACTACAATGCGCTTCAATGTGCAGTGTCAGGCCGAGATCACCGCGGGGACTGTCGCTGCCATGAAGAAGGCAGCTAAGCATCGCAATGACCGGCTGGGAATACGTGTACAGTTTCATGCGTGAGGCGACCGATCAGCTCAAGAACCAGACGCAGAAGATCGGAGTTGATCAAGCAACGCGACTCAACATGGACGTTCGCTGATTGTGGGCTGATTTGCGGTTGCTTCCCACAGCTGGCAGTTGGCAGGTTGACAAGCTGACCGATGAGATGGCAGACATCGCTGCGGAAATGAAGGCTGGGTACGAAACACGAGTCCAAGGCTGTCGTTTTGGCTTTCCCGACAGGACATCCAGTCGGCGCTTGCTGCACCCTCAGCAGTCGGCTCTGCGGCAGAGGATGAGGCTGAGAAGGAGTTGATGGCAGAGACCTCAGCCAGACTCGGCATCATTATTGCGACCATCAATCTAGCGCAATGCTGGTGGCTGGGGTACTCGTATGGGTCATGTTGCTGCTGAGGCATTGTATGCCCAGCAGGAAGACAAAGAAGCAGAGGAGGCCGGCACTGGTCAGACTGTCAGACCTGCTGTGCGTTTGTGGCTTGTCGTTGGAATCCGATTCCAGGCAATGTCCATCCTCGCTGCCGGAGGTGGTGGGTATGCGAGCACCACTCCGGCGCCTGCAGTGGCAGCAAAGGCAGCACCCAAGGCTGCCACAGCTTTGGGGTCATGAGGCCGGGTGATGCACGCATATCGTGGCTCATGCTCATTAGGGCTCATGCCCCTTCTTTTAAAACGAAGCGAAGCGAACCCTGAAGTCATCCCACAGCCCCCGGTTTGGACGCATGTTCTGCATGAGGTTCCGGGTGCCAGCCGCTCAACGAGACCTCATGCGAAGTTGCAGACTTGAGCGGATGTCACGCAGAAGCGTTTGACGTTCCCGGAGGGAAGTTGTGAGACGCAGATTGACTTCGATTAAGAGAGACAGCCGAATGAATTTGGAGTTCTGCTCTCATGTGCATCGAGACTGTTTAACGCCTTGCTGATGGGTCTGATGCCATGAGAGAGATCTTGATTTTGCACACGGGCAGGCCATGCTTGATGGCCGCTCTTTTCTGTTGATAGGCTTTCGCCAGACACCCGATTGTGTGCTTTTTTTTGATGTACTTGGAGAATGAGCATGTATGAGCATAAACACGAATCAATTTGGTGTTCTGGTCTCCCCCTCCAGAACAGCATGCAGGAGTCGGAGGGTACATCGTCAAAAGGGGGGCTTCGGCTGTTTCAGCTGAGTTTTGATTCGGAGCAGCTCTTGCCGCGCCTGTGGAGGACGTGATCTTCGACATGATGCACAGCAGCTCTGCAGTCGATGTTTGAAGATTGCGTTTAGACATTACTCTGACGGGGCTGATGCCTTATGGCCTGGACGCACTCGACGTGGTCACCCTTTTTGACCACCCAAATCTAGGAGGAGTGCCTTGGACCTCGAATTGTCTTGGCGCCAGAAGCGGTCCTGAAGGCATGCTTCACGAGCCCGAGATCTTTCTCTCCGGTAGCTTTCGCTTCTGCAGACAGCATCACTGTAAGCAGCTGCCCGAAATAGTTTGGAAAGCTTGCTCTATCACTTCGTCAGAGCCATGCGTTAGAAAAAGTTGGCTTCGAAGCATTACGTGCTAGCAATACATGCAGCCACATCATTGTGTGTCGAGTTTCAGATTCTCTACTTCACAGCTACGTCGCTGGCACTGTGTCTAGGCCTGGCCGCTACACGCAGCAACTTGTGTCTCGAGCGAGAGAGGCCTAGGGATCAGTCTTCTGCTTTTCTTCGACAAGTCAGCAGATGTGTTCTAATTGTGCAGACATGTGGTTGCCAGGCTGGCTTACATGTGCGTGAGGTACGCACTGCTGCAGTCCGAGCAACTCTGGCCCTCAAGGGTTGCATTAGCTGGCCCGTCGCGGCCACGACTGGGCAACTCGAGGTTGATGCGGTGAACACCTTGGCAACAGATCTGGCTCAGGATGATGTCAGGGGCTCGTGCTCGGGCTGGGCCTGTCTTGCTTGTCAGTGCCATCTGCCGAAGCATCGGCAGGCCACCAGCGATATTGGTCTTATCGTCTCTTGTGGTAGCTCCGGCCTCTTATCTTTCAGCATGATCTTCCACTTAGCTCCGCACATGTGATGCGATGTTGGGTATACGTGAGGCCCGGTGGTCCTCACGGAACCAGTCGACCTACGTGAGCATGTTGCCAAAACGTGCGTCGCTCAGGTGGTCATTGTCGGCTTTAGCGATTCTGGGAGTGTCCAGTGTGATGCTGCACATGAAATAAGCTATAAGTTATAAGGATAATGTAACTCTTCAGGTGAGGCGCTACGATTGACTCCAGACAGTTGCTTGATGAGTGAGTAGATCTCTTCAGGACAGCAGCAATGCTACAGTTTCCGAATGCGTCCAGCCCTCGTGTGGTTCATTTACAGACCTTGCCGGACACGCATTTGGCTGCTCGGATGTTGAGGCCCGTGGTTGGCATTTGCTACGGAATGCAGCTCCTAACGCTACTCTATGGTGGAAAGCTTGCAGAGCCTCTTCCTTACATGTCCGGTTGCACGCTCTGAGGGCGTGTTGGGGCATTGTTTTTGGGGCCTGCTGGCATTGATGTAGCCTGGAGGGCAAGCGGGGTTGCTTTTATGAGGCAGCGAGAAAGCGCTCACAAAGGGGAGTGTCCAAGCTGCAATTTTTCGAGGAATTGTCGAGCAGTGGATGTTGCCTATGCCTACTTCCTGTGCCAGCTGGAAGGTGGACGGAGTTGAGACGGTCGCCGGTGAAGTCTCGGCTGTCCTGCTGCCCTTTTTTAATGCTGGCGATCTGGCGGCAACGTGGGGTACAGCAGCTCGAGCAACAAGTTTCTTGTAGCATTCACCCACAGTTTTCGGTTCAAGCATTTCAAGCCATGTTGCACACTGACACTGGACCGCACGTCGCAGAGCAGCCAACAGCCACCACAGAGCCAGGTGCAGGACAAACATGTGACCCTCATGACAGCATCGGCTTTGGCAGCAAAGCATGGTTCTTCTGATGAAGGTGGCTCACTATCGTGTTCATCGCTTGGCATGTGCGGAAGCTGCACGGATGGCAGGAATCCACGGCAGTCACTACATGCTTTTAGAATGATTCGTGTCAGGTGAAGACTGGCGGCAGTTCACCAGTAAACAGCTGACGTCTGCCTTGCTGGCACTGGGCAGGACTCCGCAAGAGTGTCGCACATCGCATCAGTGTTCTTGTCTCTGCAGCAGGGGTCCTTGCTTGCACGTGTTGCAGGCACCAGGATTGGCAGGCTGCGCTGAGACTTCTGCATGACGTGCAAGGTGTGACTTTTGATCGCGGTACATGATGCATGACGGCACGTCGTCTTGTTGGAATAGCTACTCATGTGTTCCCAGGGTCCGACAGCTGTCATGCAGAGACGAACATCTTCAGTTATGGTGCAGCGATCGCAGCTTGTGAAAGGACTGTGCAGACACTTGTGAGGTGAGCGGGATGTTGAACCCTGAATATTCATTTGTGTGTCGATTGAGCCTTTTCGGAGGCAGCATGTTACAGAAGCCTGGTTTGTCCGCGATTTTTTTTCAGAGTCGGCATCTGAATGGAGGTGATCGGACCTGCAAGCTGCAAACGCATGCAATGAAAGGAGTGCCCAGTGGGCATGGGCCCTGCAGCTTCTGGACGATTTGATCACCAACGGTTTCGAGCAGCTTGATGGCAATCATAAGGAACCTTCTGCTTACCCCCCCCCCCCCTGCACGGGGGTAGGACCTGATGAGGGTCTAAGCCTAAGCGGGCTCACTTAAGTATAGTTCCCCACCCCCGCTCCCACTTAGCCCAGCAAGATTGCTTATGAGGCAACAACACCAAGGACGCAAGTTTCATTAACACTAGATCTAGGACATTTTCAGGTGG